AGTGACTTGCCCAGGGTCACACAGCTAGTAAGTGTCAAATGTTTGGTCTGAGGCTGGATTTGAACTCAGGTCCTCCTGACTGCAGGGCTGGTGCTGTATCCATCTTGCCCCTAAAATTAGATTTTTAAAAAAATGAACAAAATCTGTTTAATCTCCCTTTTCCCCTCACATTGAAAAAACCAAAACCGAAACCCTTGTAACAAATATTCAGAGTCAAGCAAAACAAATTCCTGATAATACCTGTAAAGTGCTTAGCACAGTGCCTGACACATAGTAGGAGCTTAAGTGCTCATTCCTCTTTCTCTTCCTGTACTGACCATGCCTAAAACAGTATATGTCTTCTGCACTGAGGCCAGGAGATAGGTAGCATTTTTTCAGTCCTCTGGAATTATGGTTAGTTGTTGAGTTGATCAGAGTTCTTAAGTCTTTCACCATAATCCCAGGTGTCCTTGATGACCTGAGTTCCCAGGCCAGATGATCCTTGGGCCAAACACATCTGTATTTGCACTAGTATGATGCTGGGGGAAAGCAAACCCTGGATGCTCATGTATAGTGAAGTAGGGGTCGCATCCTTCCTCTCTATGGTGGTCCTCTACCATGTATGGTTCTTAGAAGCTTGGTTTAACTCCTTTAGGGAGGAAGCACACTTTCCTCCTATCGACCTACCCCTGCCCCCACTTTTTCCCTTCCTCATGCTGTTTTTCTGTTCTCAATGCCCCAGTGACCTTCTGTTAACTATGGCTAAGGGCAAATGGGAAGATGATAAGGAGAGAAGGTAGAACTTATGATGGAGAGAAGGTAAAACTATTCTGAACTGAAAAGGATGGAATAAAAATGACCAACAGAAATCCAGGATAAGTAGGGGAAAATAGGAAAGTCCAAGTCATCTGGCCCAGATGAGTAATATCCCAAAGTCCTGAAGAAAACTGGCAGTTATGATGGTCAGTGATCACTGAAAGACCACTAAGAACAGGAAAAGTATCATAAGACTGGATGCCTACAGTAATACCTCATATTAGCATTTATTTCTTGGATAGGATTACTAGATTGGGAGGTCAGAGACAAACAGGTGATTCAGTGCATAGAATCCAGGTCCTGGAGTGAGGAAGATCTGAGTTCAAATCTGGCCTCATACATTTACTTGCTGTGTGACCCTGGGCAAGTCACTTAACCCTATTTGCCTCAGTTTTGTCATCCGTAAAATGAACTGGAGAAGGAAATGGCAAACCACTCCAGGATCTTTGTCAAGAAAACCTCAAATGGGGTCATGGAGAGTCAGACACGATTGAAATAATTGAACAACAATAACAAAAAGGTCAGGGGAATGATGTAGGCCTTGACAAAGTCTCTTGAGCCGTTTTGGTGCACAAGACGGAGAAATCTGGCTAGGTTATGGTTCACTTAGGTGAATTCATAACTGGTCAAGCGACTAACCTGAAAAAATAGTCATTAATAGTTCCAGGTCAGCTTGGAAGGAGGTCTCTATAGTTGAGTGCCCTCAGGATTTGGGCTTAGCTCAGAGATATTTAATAAAAGCACGCATGGCCTGCTTTTCAAATCTGCACGTGACACAAAGCTAGGAGGCACAAATGATCTGGATGGCCACTCTCGACAAGCGAAGGTATTGGCTTGAATAGAAAAAAGATGAAATTTAATAGTAATCAATGTCGAGTCTCACACTTGGTTTCAAAATATCACTTCCTGAGTACAAAGTAGGGGAGATAGATCCAGACGGCAATTTTTCTAATTGGAGATTTTACTGAATTAACTTAATACGACTCCATAGTATGTCATTGTACCCAAAAAGAATCAATGCAATTTTTTGCTGCATTGAAAGTAATAGCATGTGGGATATGGGTGATTTTCCCATTGCTCTCTGGAATGTTGGGTTCAGTTCTAGACATTATATTTAAGAAGGGCATTTATGAGGGCAGCTAGGTGGCACCGCCCTGGAGTCAGGAGGACCTGAGTTCACATCCTGCCTCAGACACATATTGGCTTTGTGACCTTGGGCAAGTCACTTAACTCCAATTGCCTCAAAAAACCCAAACAAACCCTAATAACAAGGACATTGATAAGCTGGAGAGCATCCAGAGGAGATCAGCGTGGCAAAAGGCCTTGAGATCATGTTATATGAGGATTATGTGAGAGAAATGGAAAAGATAAGCTTTAAATTAGGAAATTAAAGCTATTTTAAAGTATTTGAAGGACTATCTCATGGAAGAGAGATCAGATTGTCCTGCCTGGCCAAGGAGAGCAAAATGAAAAAGGATAGAAGCTATCCAGAGGCAGATGTAGCCTTTATTTACGAAAAAAACACTTTGGAACCACTAGCACTTTCTCCAGTGAAATGGCCTGCCTTAGCAGGCAATAGTTTCTCCCTCTCTAGAGGTCTTTGGGCAAAGATTGGACACTCACTTCTTTGGTGAGTTGTTGAGAGTATTCTTATTCACATACGGGTTGGACTAAGTGGCCTGAAAGGAAGGCATCATCAACTCTGAGATGCTGTGACACTCTATGATATCTCCCCTGGCCCTAATTTCCTCACTTTAAAAATGGAGGTTTGATGAGATGACCCCCAGGGTTTCATGCAGCTCTAAATGGATATTCCCTATGATTGTACGATTATAGCTCCCTCCAAAGATTCTTGGTTAGGGTAGAGACTTTGGCAGCCGGCCTGTCTCTGTAGGGTTCTCTTGAAAGTCAGAAATGACTCACTGCGCCATACTGTCCCCCTCAGCCTAGCCACTTACCAGGGCTTAGGGGTTAGTGGTTGCTATGCTTTCTTTCTGAGGTTAGGCCTTTCTTTTAAACTTGCTCTGAATCCACCCATTAATCAAAAGAGCCATGTGAATCTAGTTACTTAACCACCTACTCAATTTTCTCATTTGTAAAATGAAGTAGATGGACAAGATGGTCCCTGAGGGCCCCTTCAGCCCTAATGGTCTACAGTTCTCAGCATTTGTTAAAGGTCACTGTTCTGAGGGCTGAGCTAAGAAAAACCAATATGGTACAGTGGTGTCGAGAGTGCCCCCGGCTTTGAATCTTGGCTCTGACACTCATTATGTTATCTTGGTCAAATTCAGTTGGTGTCTCTGAACCTCAGTGTCCTCATTTGAAAAATGGGCATGATTTTATACTGCTTCACTGTGGTGCTATGAAGAAAGTGTTTGGTCAACTTTAAGGTTCTAGAAAATTTGAGTAATCACCCTGTGGGTGATACAGAAGTACTCTGCAGAAAGAAGAATGTCTTGGGGATATTGTATTGTGTTGTTGTCATCGTTGTGTTTGTCCTTCATTCTTGAAGAGGACCATGACATCAGGGAGATGATGACATGACTTGCAATTGACTTTGATTTAAGTGAGGGAGGGCTGTGCAAGGTCACCAGCCTCACTTTCTCCTCCAGAGCCATCTGGGTTCAGTGGCCAGATATTCAGCAGGACGACTGGAGAAGGCTCAGCTGGGGACATAAGCATAACACAAAACAAAACAAACGAAAATAGTGGAAAACAAAAGGCAGAAAGTAATTAAGGGCTGGGGTTAGCCTCTACATAAGGGGAATTGTGGCCCAACAATCTGGAAATATAACATGGGGACAGACTATGGAGAAGTCTCAAAAGCCAAGCAGAGGAGTTTGCGTGCGTGGGAGTGATAATGATGAAAGTTATGTTTTCATCATAATAATAGTTTACCCTTCCATAGCTCATTCTGGAAACATTTTCCTCACAGCTATCCTGTAAAGTAGATAATGCAGATATTATTATTCCCATTTTACAGATGAGGGAGTTGAGAAGTATTGAATCTCAGAGTCATAGAATGTTAGAAATGAAAAAGGACCTTGGAGGTCATCTTGCCCACTCTCCCCACTTTAAAAATAGAAAACAGGCTCAGAAAGGAGGTGAACTTTCTGGTTAGAGAGGATCCCACATGTTCTAACTGGAGCTCTTTCCACTACGGGGCACTGCCTCTCTTTTAGGTAAATGTGGGACATTGGATAGATTGAATGGGAGATGGTGATGGGGGTAGGTAGAGTTAGGGGGAGGAGAATAAGTCAGGCTTCTGATTTTGTCATTGTTTTGGAAATCCCCACCAAAAGTATTGGTTCCTCGTTTATTTGGCCTCTGGTTTGGGAGGAGGACAGGAAAGAGTTCCCTACTTATTAGGAAGGAAAGAAGGGAACCAGCATTTATTAAGTACCTACTACATGCCAGGCACCATGCTAAGCAATTTGCAAATATTCTCTCTTTTGATCTTACAACCCAACAAGTGTCATTTTACAGTTGAGGAAACTGAGGCAGACAGAATAAGTGACTTGCCCAAGGTAAGTATCCAAGGCTGGATTTGTACTCAGGTTTTCCTGACTCTAGGTCCAGTGCTCTAACTACTTTGCCACCTAGCTGCCTCAAATGCCATGGTGGAAAAAATGTTAGATTTGGAGTCGGAACACTTGGATCCATTCTGTTTCTGCCATCTTTGTCAGTTCCTTCAGTGAAGGGGTTGGAAGACATGACCCAAGAGGCTCCTTCTAGCTCTAAAGCTGCCATTCAGTAGAATGCCCATAGCTTTTGGGCATCTTTCCATCCAGACACTCATAAAAATGGCCCTGTGATCAGAGTTCCTTTCTTGTGATGTTTCCCTGCCCCCTGGTGGCCCGATTGGAGCTCTTCCCAGCCTTTGGGGTGCCAAGGAGGGGAAAGAATATTTTCAAAGAACTCTGTTGTGCCTTTATCGCCTCTCTCTCATTCTCAGGCCCACAGAAAGAAACTGAGGCACCTGGCAAGGTATGTGATGATGTCTTCTGGGTTACCTAGCAAAGTACAGGAAATAGAGTCTGCGATCCCTGGGTTCCTCTGTGCTAACAGCATCAGTGCAGAGCCTGGTGTAGAAAGGGCACAGCGGAGTGGAGGGAAATGACCCACTGGGACTGGATTTTAGGATTTAGAGGGGGAAGGAATGTTAGGGTTTCTTCAGTCCAGGGGTTCTTAACCCTTTTCGTGTCATGTACTCCTTGGACAGTAAGTATGGTGAAACCTATATCCTTTAACAATGTTTTAAATGCATAAAATTAAAAAAAGAATGAAAAATGGAACCAATTATATTGAAATATAGTTATCAAAATATTTTAAAAACATATTTGCGATATAGTAATATACCTAGCATCAGGTATAATAACTAGAGAAATTCCAAAGTAGTGATGAGTATAAATGATATTTCTATATTTGTAACAACTGTAATGTGATATGAAAAAACTTGTGATTTCTTTTAGTAAGAGTTACATGTACTGCTAGCACTACCGGGCTTGGCTGCCTATATTTATATTGAATAAAATGCTAAATTTCAGTTAGAGGTCAGTGAAATTAAGGATGTGATTTCCCCCTCCCCCATTTGCAGGTTAAGATCCCTTGCTGTAATCCAACCAACTGCCTCATTTGATAGATGAGAAAATTGGGACCCAGAGAGGGGAAGCTTTGTTATTGTTCAGTCATTTTAGTCGTGTCAGATTCTCTGTTATCCCATTTAGGGTTTTCTTGCCAAAGATAATGGAGTGGTTTGCTATTTCCTTCTCCAGCTTATTTTACAGATGAGGAAACTGAGGCAAACAGGATGAAGTGACTTGCCCAGGGTCACACAGCTAGTAAGGCTGGATTTGAACTTAGGTCTACCTGATTCCAGGACCCACACTCTTTCTACCCTTGAGGGGAAGCTTACAAGAGTGATTTAAAAAAACAAACCCAAAAAACAAACCAAAAACAGAGTCTAGATTCAAACTCAGGTCTTCTGACTAGAGACTGGAAATCTAGTATGTTTCTGTGGTCTATATCCTCAACATGCCCTTTTAGGCACAGAGAAAATGGGTCCCAGAGCCCTAAATAAAAACCAGGGCCGATCTCAGTGGCCAGAGAGGCTTCCTAGGGGTTAACCAGACAAACTGGAGAGAGGATTCAGGTGAGGAGTCCCAAGCATTCTGGGATTTAAGGTGGAGTAGGTGGTTAGTTTGTTTTTAAACTGAGTGGATTTTTCTGGTGGGCCTGTGAGCTATTGGAGGAGGGAGCTGAGCCAGCAGCCCCTGACAGTGCTGGTGATCCCAGTGACATGGCCATGAGGTGGGCCTTGGAACCCTGGCCCTTGGTGCTGGGTCTGCTCACGCTTGTAGGAGGTAAAAAGGGCCACGAAACCGGGAACCTGACTGACTCCTTCCAGGCTTCACTTCTTAGTTTCTGGTTCCTGGAACTGGGACTGTGTGGGTGTCAGAAAGGTAGATTGGGAGGAATCATAATTGATGCTAATGGTATCTGTAATAAGCTCTTCCCCAGCTGGGGGCCATTCCAGGAAATCTGGGCTCAGCTCCTCAAGCCACAAGAGGAGGGAGGGAGAAAGAGACAGCAGGGGGAAATTTCATGGGGTCATAGGATATAGAGAGCTGGCGGGACCTTAGAGACATCTAATCCCACCCCATCCCCATTTTACAGGGAGGAAACTGAGGTCCAGAGAGATTATGATACTTGTCCAGTGGAAGAGCCTGAATCTGAATTCACATCCTTTAATACGGGGCAGGGGAAAGCATGCTGGATTTAGAATCAGAAAACCTGAGTTCAAATCCTGCCTCCGACAGTGATAACCTCTGTGACTTTGGCTGAGTCACAATATCTCTGGGCCTCAGTTTCTTCATCTGTCACATAGTAAAGGGTTGATTAGATGACCTGTAAGATCCTTTCCACTGTTCAATCTACGACCTCAAATGCAGTAGTCTTTGTTCTTGATGTTGTTTAATTGATTTTCAGTCATGATGGACTCTCTGTGACCCTATTTGTGTTTTTGTTTTGCAAAGATACTGGAGTGGTTTGCTGTTTCCTTCTCCAACTCAGTTTACAGATGAGGAAACTGAGACAAAGAGGGTCAAATGACTTGCCCAAGGTTACACAGCTACTAAGTGTCTGAGGCCAGATTTAAACTCAGAAAGAGGAGTCTTCCTGACTCCAGGCCCTGCACCCTATCTGTTGTGCCACCGAGCTGCTCTCTGTATGGGCATATATAAGGATAACTACCTTCCTGAAGGTTTCCTCCCTTCTTTGTGTCAAATAAGCCCAGTCCAAGGATAATTGATAATAATTAAGTTATTCAAATGCTTTCTTCCCCACCCTACTCCACCTTGTCCTAGCTCCTGTGAACTTGTGGTCTCTTTCTTGGAATGCCTTGAAAAGAATGGAGAAAAAGTCTGAGCATGAATTCTGACTCTGGTTTTGAGAGGAGCAGTGGGGTCGGACAGCCCTGTTTGCCCTTCAAGTATTGGCTTAGTTTTGCTATGGACCATCTCCAGTCGTCCTGATCCATATCTGGCCACTGGACCCAGATAGCACAGAGGATAAAGTGAGGCTGGTGACTTTGCACAGCCCTCCCTCACTTAAATCCAATCCACTCGCATGTCATGGCATCACCTCCCTGATGTCGTGGTCCTCTTTGAGAATGAAGGACAAAAAACAACAACAGTTTTTGCTGAGTGAAATCTTACCTTTTCCAGTTCTTGTCTCTAAATATCACAGAGCCATTCTATCTCATTAGATGCAATGTGGCGTAATGGAAAGAACATGTGGCTTTTGAGTCACAGGACTTGGGTTCAAATTTTGCTTCTTAGTGCCAGTGTGACCTTGGACAAGTAACCTCTCTGAGCAATTAGGTATCAGTCAGCAATAAATGCTTACTAAATGTAAAGCACTATGCTAGATGCTGGAGGTATAAAGCAAGGCAAATACCCCCCCCCAAAAAAAGTTCCTGCTCTCAGAAGTCCTTTCCCATCCCTCCCAGCTCTAAATAAACCCACCTGTGATCATCGATTGTACCTTAGCATTTAGAGCAAAAGGGACCTTAGGGATCATTTTGGCCATCCCAACCCTCTTTTCACAGATGAGGAAACTGAGGTTCAGAGAGTTAAAGGAATTTGTCCTAGAAGCTAAGTGATTTGACCAAGGTTACACAGTCTAGTAAGAAGCAGTCAGGAGTCAAATCTATACCCTCTGACTGCAAATGCCCTCTTTCCATTACACCATGCTGTCCTGGTGTCTTGATTTAGTGCTCATATGGCACCACATCTTGGGCTATGTGGGTAGAGGGGCTGAGTTTGGTAGGATTACCTTATTTTCTTCAACTTCCCATGAGGGAAGACTGTCCTGCTCACAGCACTAGGTGGACCAAGACACAAAGCGAAAAGGACTAGGGTATTGCCTAGTGCTGGGGCAGCGGGGCTCCCATGGGTGCTTCTGGCTGGGCTTCCTTCTTCCCTGGCTGGCTTTAAGGGAGGCCTCTATTGGATTGGAGTTACGGCTGAGGGTGATAGGCAGTTTTAGTCACGTGGGGCTGTTTGGCCTGAAAGGCTGAGCAGCCTTCCTGGGAGCTTTGCAGTCGAGGTGTGAGACAGCATCAGAAGAAGAATTTCTCCTAGGAAAAGTGACTTTGCAAAGTGTGATTATGGCAAAAGGAAAAAAAGGCCAGACATGCTAGAATTTGATGTCCCTCCTGGTCTCCCACACTGAGAGAGGTACCTGGATAAGCTAGAATGAATATGCTTACGTGGAATCGGGAAAACAATACTGCTATTGCTCCCTAAGGCCTGAGATGCAGCTCCTCCACTGTGTGAATTAGGGCAAGTCATGTAACTGCCTTGTGCCTCCGTGTATTCCTCTGTAAATTAGGGATAATACTTATATGTTAATTTACTTCACAGGGTTATGGTGAGGAAAGCACTATATAAACCTTACAAGGCAATGGGAATGTTAATTATCATTGTTACACCTCTCTCGCCTAGGTTTGGATCCTACAAGACCCCCAGAAGAAAATGCCCCCAGTGTCATGAACCACATCACCCCTGAAGGGACCCAGTCCACTTGGGATGGGGATATCCCTGCTATTAACCAAGGTGAGGACAGTTTACTTTCTCGGACGTGGAAAAAATGTTCAGGATCTTTGGAAATGTCTCAAATGGATCAATTAGCAACTGATGGAATATCTGCCATAGTCTATGTGGGAATAGGGGGAAGAGAGAAGAAGAGAGGCAGTGGTGATAATAGAAGCCTATACACATACACATATAGGGTGCTAATATATATTATATGTAGCTATTCTATATATTCTATATATAGCTATTATATATTTTATGGCTATTATATATATATTCTATATAGCTATTATGTAATCACTTTGTTAAAGAAATAGGCCAAAATGATCTCATCTGATTGATCTTCAACAATTTTGAAGTGGGTAGTGTAAATGTAAGTGGGCAGCATCATTCCCAAGGTCAAACAGCTACTGTTAGAGTCTGGACTTGAGCCTCCTGAATTCAAGGTACCACATTATGTTTAGATTTATGAGACGGAGCCCTGGATCTGAAGGAGGGGAGTCCTATTTAGTTACAGAAATAAGACATATATAGGTGGTAAGATAATGAATAATGTAGGCAGTATGTGATTAGTGCCAAATGAGTGGCAGAGATGTTAAATCAGGAGAGTTTCTCCTCATATTAACAAGCTTAGCCTTTGTGGCCTCAAGTGGAGGTGTTGAAGGCAGGGATAGATGGCCACCAGGGGGCACTCTGGGCAGACATGTGCAGGTCCCTCTCTGAGTCCAGCTTAGGCTTGTGGTTAGGAGCCAAAACTCTAAGGCAAAATGTGGTCTCATCTCTCCATTCCTCCTTCCCACTTCCTCCCCAAGCCTCTTAGGATTCCTTTTGTTTTGTTTTCAGATGAGGGAAGTCATCTGACTCCTACATTTCTGGGCAAACAGTCGAGTCCTGAATTAGGAGGCTATTGGGGCAACCCGAGTGTTAGGTGTTGAAGGATTGAATCAAGGGCATTGGCACATGTACAAACAAGAGCTCACTCTCCCTCCCCCCACTAAGAGGAATAGAACTTCCCGCTAAGGCCCAGCGCCCCCTCTCTGAGAGCCTCCTTACTCTCTAACAGGCTCTGCTGAGCCAGGAGCTCTCTGTCTGGCATACCTGGCTTCCCCTGGGCCTTGGCCTAGGTAAAAAGAGAAAACCTGGCCTCCCTTAAATCACATTAATTGCTGACATTTACATAGCACTTTTGTGGTTGTCAAAGAGTTTTTTTACATTTTATCTCATTAAGGATTGGTAATGACATGACAGATAAAACTCTTAGAAAACTTTATTATCTGAACACTGGGCAGCTAGGCGGTACAGGGGACAGAGTCTGGAAGACTCATCTTGCTGAGTTCAAATCTGGCCTCAGATGCTTCCTAGCTGTGTGACTTGGGGCAAATCAAGTAACCCCTGTTGGCCTCAGTTTCCTCATTTGTAAAATGAGCTGGAGAAGGAAATGGCAAACCACTGCAGTATCTTTGCCAAGAAAATCCCAAATGGGGTCACCAAGAGTCAGATGTGATTGAAATGACTGAGCAACAACAACATGATCTTATATGTGATGGTCTAATTATAGAGAGCAGAGTAGTTTACATTTGTTTTTAAACTGAATGTCCTGCAGGCATCTAAAATTCAGCATGTCTAAAACTGAACTTACATTCCTCAAACCCACCTCCCTCCCAAATTTGCCCATTTCTGTCAAGGCCACCAGTATCCTTCCAGGCCCCAAGATTTGCAACTTTGATGTTATCCTTGGTTCCTTGTTCCTATTCATCTTACAGATCCTAGTCATTTCCAGATCTTGTCATGTCTATCTCCATAACCTCTTTTCCATCTGTTCCTTTTTCTCCCCTCAGAGTCACCACCTTAGTTTCAGGGGAATAAACATTTATATAGTGCCTGCTATGTGCCAAGCACTGTACTACGTGCTTTTTTGCAAATATTATCTCATTTGATCCTCACAACAACCCTGAGAGGCAGATGTTACTATCATCATACCCATTTTGCAGTTGAGGAAACTGAGGCAAAACAGATATTAAGTGATATGCCCAGGGTCATATACCTAGTGAGTATGTGAGGCCAGATTTCAATGTGGGTCTTCCTGACTCAGAACCAGCACTCTATTCAATGTGCCACCATTTGCCTCTATGGCCCTCATCAAGGAGGGCAGGGGAGAAATGTGATTATGTGATCAAGTCCTCATCACCCCCAGTCTAGATTATTGCAATAGCTTCTGAATTGGTGTCCCTGCCTCAAGTACCGTTTCCCTTCTCCAATCCATCTTCCACAGTGCTGCCAAGGTGGTTTTCTTACAGTAAGGGTCTGACTGTGTCAGTCTTCTATTCAATAAGCTACAGTATCTCCTTATGACGTTTAGAATCAAATACAAATTCCTTTGTTTGGCATAAAAGTCTTGAATCTGGCCCTAGTCTATCTCTCCAGTCTTCTGACGCCATTTTCCTCTTCATACACATTATGGTCCAGTCAAAACAGTCTTCTTCCTGGTCCTCTTAAATGACGCTCTATCTCTTGTCTCTGGATTTCTGCGCTGGCTCCATGCCTGCAATGCGTTCCCTTCCTCATTCCAGACTTGGAGAATCCCTAGTTGCCCTCAAGTTACAGTTCTAGCACCACCTTCTCTGTGAAGCTTTTCCTGATTTCCCATGCCCTCCTTCCCCCAAATATAATGCTTTTATATATACTCAAAGAAGCTCATGTTATTTTCCCTGGCTAAAATGCAAGCTCTTCGATGGCAAAGACTGTTTTACTTTTGTGTTTGTATTCTCACCTCCTAGAATGGAGCCTGGCACATTATAGCTGCTTATTGATAGCTTTTTTTTTTTTGGCTAGGCAATGGGGTTAAGTGACTTGCCCAGGTGTTGATAGATTTTTAAAATTAATCTTCTCTGACTCTGTTGAGGGAGAATGGTAAGAAGGGACAAAGACTTCAGTTTAGAGAATGTCTTGGGCGCTTATTAGGTATGTGACCCTGGGATTAATTTTTCTGAGCCTCAGTTTCCCCATGTGTAAATGGGGATAATAATAGTAGCAACACCAGGGTTTTGTTGCCCCTTGATGGGGGAACACAAAGGTTTTTGTGATTATCAAATGAGATAATGTACATAAAAGTGCCTTATAGAAAGGTCAGATATTATTATTATTAATTATCATCATCACCATCATCAAGACCATACGAATCTTCAACTTTCCTCTCCAAATGGGTAGGAGAGACTGGAAAAGGAAGGTGGAGCGAGGCACTGCCACCTTCCCTTGCCTGTCCCCAGTTTAGGAACAATGGGTCCTTAATAATACTACTTTTTTAAAAATCCATTTATTTATTTATTTATTTTAATGATACTACTTCGAGGTTGTTGTTGTTCAGGTGTATCTCACTCTCCGTGACCTTACTTGGGGTTTTCTTAACAGAGATACAGGAGTGTTTTGTCATTTCCTTCTCCAGCTCATTTGACAGATGAGGAAACTGAGGCAAATAGGGTGAAGTGACTTTCCCAGGGTCACACAACTAGTAAGTGTCTGAGGCCAGATTATGTTATATAGCGCCTTACCAAAAATGTCTCATTCGATCCTCAAACAAGTCTGTGAGGTAGGTAGTATAAATGTTATTACCTCCATTTTATGGATGAGGAAACTAGGCTTGGAGAGCCCAAGAAATTTGCTGGTGGTCACACAGTAAGTATCAGAAAGACTTAAACTGTGTCTCCCGAACTCCATCTAGTTATCTGCTATGGCCCACTGCCCTGTCTAGTTTCTAGTCATTTGTACCAGTCCAGGGAATCACTTTCTTGCCTAAGGATTCACTGTACATGAAACAAAGTGACGAACATCCAGGTACTTCGATTTCTTCGGAGGTGGGTGGGGCAAGAGAAAATCCAAGAGGGACTGGGGTAGGGGGAACCAGGGAGGAAAGACACTTCCAGGCTAAGCAGAGCAAGTAGACTGACTTCCCGCAGCATCTCAGGAGGGCAGTGCTCCTGGAAACGCCCCTGGATCTGGTAGCGGCTCACCACATCTGTTGTAGGAGGGCCAGAGGAGATAGTCTACCCCCGGTTTTGCTGCCCCTTGGTGCTTCCTAGCGCGGCAGGAAGGACATGAGTTAGGAGGAAGGTGGTCATGGATTGAATGGTGGCCCTAGGCTCAGTGTCAGTACTGTACTGGGACCAGAGAAAATTGCTAGTCAAGAGGAGCCTTTGCCCTGGGGCTCTGGAGAGAATCAGTCCAACGGTGCACAGGGCGTGGATGGAGCCTAATTCAGGGAAAGGGAGAAGAGTGGGTACTAGGGCAGGTACCTGAGCCCAGGTAGATGACACAGAACCTGTACCAGTCACCTGTGTCAGATCTCCAGTTGGACTTCAAGGAGCACCGAAGATTGGGTTAAGAAAAGGAACCTAGTTCCATCTCCTTCCAGGATCCTGTAGAGGAATTCTGCAAGTATGCATCAAACCTCTTCTTTCTTCCTGAATTTAATTGTGGAAATAGTAGGAAGAGCTCCACCCTCCCCCACCTCTCTTAGTGTATGGGGAGAGGGTAGGTGTTTACCTTAAATTATTTTGGCACGTGACTCTAAGGCCTGGAACTCTTTTTGGCCCTGTTTTTCTTCAGGGGAGAAGCAGGGCTTCTCTGATAAGCATTCCTTATCCCAAATCTCTCCTTTATAGGTCTCATCCCTGAAGAATCCCCAGAGAGCAGCTTCCTTGTGGAAGGTGACATCATCAAGGCCGTAAGTATGGGGGAAATAACTGTGAGTGCCATTTCTGTAGCACTTTGAAGCTTACCAAGTATTTTCCTCATTGAAGTCTGGGGAGGTAGTTTAAGCAAGAAGTAGTAATCCTAATTCTACAGATGAGGGAACTGAGTCTCGGAGGTTGTGACTTGCTATACATATATATATATATATATATATATAAAATGTGTGTATGTATGTGTGTGTATATATATGTATATATATGTATGTGTGTGTGTGTGTGTGTATATGTATGTGTATATATATATGTGTGTAATGTCACAGGTTGTGACATAGCTATATTGAGGACCAGGGACAGAAGGCAGTACAGCATGAGAGCCAAAGGAAGGACATTATTTGCTAACGTGGTGCTATAGAGCCAGGATTTCTGAGTGAAAGATCCTTCTTTCTAGCTTTCTTACCTTGGATAGAAGAATTCTGAAGATGTACACATTTTCTGATCTCTCCTATATACTTCAAAACTCCTTTTCTACTGCAAGTAGGAATATAAGAACTACTACATGGGCCTTTCTCTCTCTCTGTGTACATACATATATATGTGTGTGTGCACACATGTGTATGTATGTGTATGCATGTATATGGAATATTCCTAAATGCCTTTGTTTTATGATAGTCCAAGATTCTATTCCTAATAGGAGAACTATGGGATATGTTGTAAATATGCAAGGTTGACTTCCTTAAGGCTTCTATCCGAGATTAGATGTTTTTAAGCATCCCAAATCCCATTTAAAAAATTTTTACTGCTATTTTCTGTTTCTTATGTCACCACAGTTATCCCAAATACCCTTCTCTCTTCCCTTCCCAGACAGCCACTCTATATAATAATGTAATATAATATATTAAGTATTTTTTTAAGAGAGAGGAAAAAAGGTCAGCATGACTAATCAGTACATTAAGAGATTGAAAACATGTGCAATGTGTAACACCTGTGGACCTCCCATCTCTTCAAAGGGTGTCCTCGCATACCTTTTCAATCAGTCCTGCATGATCTTTATAATTTTATTATATTTACTTTGATTTTTTTTGTTGTTGTGTAGCTGTTCTTTCCATTTAAGTTGTTATAGTCATGGTGTTTGTTGTTTTCTTGGATCTGATTACTTCAACTCTGCATTGGTTCATGCAGATCTTTCCATGTTTTTCTGTATTCATCACATACATGATTTCTTACAAAATGGTAATATTCTATTACATTTGTGTACCGCAATTTGTTTAGCCATCCCCCAATTGATGGGCATTTATTTTGCTTCTAATATTTGGCTATCACAAAAAGTGCTGCTATAAATATTTTGGTGTTTATAGAAACTTTCTTCTTATTAATGGTTTCTTTGGGATATAAAGCCCAGTAATGGATTCTCTAGTTCAAAGGGTATTTTAGTCACTATATTTGCAAATTCCAAACTGCTTTCCAAAATGATTGTACCATTTTGTAGCTCCACCATCAATATATTAGTGTGCTTATTTTTTCACAACTCCTCCAATATTAACTATTGCCATTTTTTTGTCATTTTTGCCAATTTGCAGAGGGTAGAATGAAACTTCAGGATTGTTTTTTTTTAAATATAAATTTATTTATTTTTAGTTTTCAATATTCACTTCCACAAGTTTTTGAGTTCCAAATTTTCACCCCTCCCCCCACCCAAGATGGCATGCATTCTGAATACCCTTCCCCTGGTCTGCCTTCTCTTCTATCTCTCCCCTCCCTTCTCTTATCCCCTCCCCTTCTATTTTCCTGTAGAGCAGGATAGACTTCTGTACCCCATTTCCTGTATTTCTTATTTCCCAGTTGCATGTGAAAACATTTTTTTTAAAACACGTGTTTTTAAAACTTTGAGTTCCAAATTTTCTCCCTTCCTCCCTCCCCACCCACCCTCATTGAAAAGGCAAGCAACTCAATATAGGTTGTACATGTGCAGTTATGCAAAGCACTTCCTTAGTAGACATGTTGTCTACTCTATTTCCCTTAATCCTATCCTGCCCTCCCATTTATTCTATTCTTTCTTTTGACCCTGTCCCTCCTCAGAAGTATTTGCTTCTGATTACCCTCTTTCCCAATCTGCCCTCCTCTCTATCATCCCCCTGCTCTCTTGTCCCCTTCCCCCCTATTTTCCTGTAGGGTAAGACAGATTTCCATACCCAATTGAATGTGTATGTTATTCTCTCCTTAAGCCAAATCCTATGAGAATAAGATTTCCTCATTCCCTCTCACCTTCCCCTGTTTCCCCTCCACTGTGAGAGACTTTTCTTTTCTGTTTTTTTTTGTGAGATAATTTACCCCATTCTACCTCTCCCTTTCTTCTCTGAGTATCATCCTCTCTCATCCCTTAATTTTATTCTCCAGATATGACCCCTTAATCTTCAACTCACCCTGTGCCTCTATCTATCTATCTATATATACATACAATTTTTTTCCTTCAACTACCCTAATACTGACAAAGTTCTCATGAGTTACAAATATCATCTTTCCATGCAGGAATGTAAACAGTTCAATCTTAATAAGTCTCTTATGATTTCTCTTTCCTGTTTACCTCTTCTTGTTCCACTGGAGTCCTGTATTTGAAAGTCAAATTTTCTGTTTAGCTCTGGTCTTTTCATCAGGAATGCTTGAAAGTCCTCTATTTCACTGAATGACCATTTTTTCCCCTGAAGGATTATACTCAGTTTTGCTGGGTAGGTGATTCTTGGTTGTAATCCTATCTCCTTTGCCCTCCGGAATATTATATTCCATGCCCTGCAGTCCTTTAATGTAGAAGCTGCTAAATCTTGTGTTATCCTGATTGTGTTTCCACAGTACTTGAATTGTTTCCTTCTGGCAGCTTGTAATATTTTCTCCTTGACCTGGGAACTCTGGAATTTGGCTACAATATTCCTAGGAGTTTTCCTTTGGGGATCTCTTTCAGGAGGAGATCTGTGGATTCTTTCAATTTCTATTTTGCCCTCTGGTTCTAAATATCAGGGCAGTTTTCCTTGATAATTTCTTGAAAGATGATGTCTAGGCTCTTTTTTTGATCATGGCTTTCAGATAGTCCAATAATTTTTAAATTCTCTCTCCTGGATCTATTTTCCAGGTCAGTTGTTTTTCCAATGAGATATTTCACATTGTTTTCTAATTTTTCATTCTTTTGGATTTGTTTTACAGTGTCTTGATTTCTCATAAAGTCACTGTCTTCCAATTGCTCTATTCTAATTTTTAAGGAAGTATTTTCTTCAGTAATCTTTTGGACTTCCTTTTCCATTTGGCCCATTTTTCTTTTTAGGGCATTTTTCTCCTCATTGGCTTTTTGGACCTCTTTTGCCATTTGGGTTAGGCTTTTTTTAAGGTGTTATTTTCTTCAGTATTTTTTGGGTCTCCTTTAGCAAGCTGTTGACTTGTTTTTCATGATTTTCTTGCATCACTCTCATTTCTCTTCCCAGTTTTTCCTCTACTTCCCTTACTTGCTTCTCAAAATCCCTTTTGAGCTCTTCCAAGGCCTGGGACTGATTCATATTTTTCTTGGAGGCTTTGGATGTAGGAGCTTTGACTTTGTCTTCTTCTGGTTGTATATTTTGATCTTCTTTTTCACCAAAGTAAGATAATATAGTCTGACTTTTTTGCGCTGCTTGCTCATGATCCCAGCCAATTACTTGAGTTTTAAACTTTTGTTAAGGTAAGAGTCTGCTTCCAATGTGGAGATGTACTGTCCCAAGCTTCAGGGGTTTGTACAGCTGTTTTCAGAGATACTTGTAGGGACCTGTAAATTTTCAGTTCTTCCAAGGTGGTATGATAAGGGGAGAGGTGTTTACTCCTTTCCTGGCCTGTGACCACAAGTACTCCTTTCTGTCCTGTAACTGTGAGGAGGGGTTGCTCTCCACAGCCACTCCAAGCTCCACCACGCCAGCGCTCTTCCTCACCCCAGCACTGCCACCCAGAACTATGACCCAGATCCACATGGGCAAAGCAAGAGATTCCTGCCTGAGCTCTGGCAAAGAGATCCCTGCAGTCCCTCTCTGATCAGCCACTGGATTCCCCCTCAGTCTGTGGGCCAGAAGCTGGGGCAGCTGCAGCTCCCCCCCCCCCCCGGGCCAGGCTCTTGGGGAATGGAGCTGAGACCCCGCCTTCCTCTCTGACCACCGACAGAAACAGACTTTTCCCACTGACCTTCTAAGTTGTCTTTGGCATTTGTGGATTGAGGGGTCTGGAAACCTCCACAGCTGCCCACAATTCAGTCCTCTGAGGCCTTCTCCAGGTTCTCTGCAGCCTGCGAGCCCACGCCGCGCTGCGCTGTGCTCCCAGCCCCACGCGATACATCTTTCTGATCAATCATCCAGGCTGTCTTGGGCTGGAGATTTGTTTCACTCTGTCTTTTTGTGGGTTCTGCTGCTTCAGAATTTGTTTAGAGCCATTTTTTGTGAGTATTTGGAGGGGTTTGGGGGACAGCTCAAGCAAGTCACTGCTTTCACTCCGCCATCTTGGCTCCGCCCCCCCCCAATTGTTTTGATGTACGTTTCTCTTATTCATGATTTGGAACATTCCTTCATGTGATTCTGAATACTTGGCAATCCTTTAAAAAAGTTTTTTTTGGCCTTTTTAGGCAATTGGGGTTAAGTGACCTGCCTAGGGTCACACAGCTAGTAAGTGTTATGTGTCTGAGGCCAGATTTGAACTCAAGTCCCCCTGACTCCAAGGCTGGAGCTCTATACACTGTGCTACCTAGCTGCCCCAATGGGTAATGGCTATGTGTTTTATATAAATTTACTCTTTACATGTCTTGGATACTAAACCCTCATTAGAGAAATTTGATGTGAAGATTTTTTCCCCTTATTCAGTCACTTCCCTTCTTATCCTAGGTGCACTAATTTTGTCTGTGCAGAAGCTTTTTTACTTTCAGGTAATTAATCTATTTTGTCTTTTATAATTGCCTTTATCTCTTGTTTAGTTAAAAATATATCTCCTACCCATAGCTGTGAGAGGCATATAATTTATTTCTCCTAATTTTTTA